GGGTTAGAAATGATATTTATTACTGGCGCCAATAAAGGGCTACTGTCAAAAGAATAAACTCTTGTCAGGACGGCTCACAGAGCAAACATTTAGGGAAAAAATACTTTGTTAGCCACAGAGAAGTAAGGTACAGAGGAAAAATTCTATAGTGCACTTAAGTGGTGTCCACCACTAGTTGCTGGTGTCCGGGGAGCGAGCTGGCGTAGTGGTTAGAGCGCGGGACTTCGGTCCCTGAGGTCCCGGGTTTAATCCCCGCCAAGTTACCAATGGATTTTATCTAAGTGATAATGCCGCAACCCCTAGGTCTAGCCTAAAGTAATGTGAAAAACAATCCCAGGCTCGTGCCTAGCGTCCTTAGGACAAAAACAAAAAAAAAACCACTAGTTGCTGGTGTCTAGGGCATAGTCCCACACCACCCCCCTCACCCTCATGCACTACAACACTCACGGTGAAGGAAGACCCTGGGCGATAGGAATTTCCACACAGTGCTCTCTGGTCGGGCTCTTCCTTGCTCGTCAGAAGAATTTCCTGGCACAACATACTAGAGCTTAAAGCACATAGTCGTCCCATGAACAAGTTTCCATTGTACCTTATTTTTCTGTGGTTGCGCTAGTCCCACTATCACTCTAAGAATATTTGTTGCGGCTTTAACAGTCAACACCAATGGAACACAATTCTTTGCTGGCGAATAAAAAAATGTTTATGATCACAAGTAGACACAGCTTTAGTTTAGATACATTTTTTTAGGGTCGAGTGTATGTCTGGGTCCATTCTTTAAGAGTTTATTGAATCTATTCGCTTACAAGTGTAACACTAATTCAAATTAAAATATTACGATTTAATCCTTTAGTCATGGATTTTAAAAGGAAATTGTTTAAAAGACAAAAATCTACTACCCGCTGAACTAGTACTTTTAAAACCATTTCTTAGGCCAAGGCTGAAGCAGGCCTGTCCACAGAGCCAGTGTTTAAAAAAAATATAGGCCTATGTTTAGTCGTTATTCGTAAATATGTGTTGTCAAAAATCTTTATTCTTTAATGACACAATCAATCATATGAAGAACCGGTTATAATGTACCACAGAATTCTTTTATGTATTAGGCTAAATGTAATTGAGTTTTAAAACATGTATTCCTAATTGGAAACTTCCAGCTCTGGAAGTAGTTGTTCCTACAAACAAGACAATAAAAACTCAACTTTCTGAATTGTAGTATTGAGTTTGTCTTTTACCATAATAGTCTACGAGTCCTATCTCATATGACAATGATTGACATGAGTGACGTAAGAAGATATGAGCTCATAGACTGAAATTTCCACCACTCTTCCTCATTTTTTGCCTCAGATAAACAGACAAAATTGTAAGCCTTCTATCTCTATATAGTTTTGACATTTTAAACAGTTAAACAACATTTGATGATCCATAAAATAATTTTCAATGCTTTATTTTTTCACTGTTTAATTATCCTCAAGGGAAAATGTTTTTGCTGTTGCCAAAGCTTCTTTAACTAATTTACCTTCATATAGAAAAAAATACAGTGCCTGTTGGAAGTTAGTAGTTATAGTATCTTTGCTGTATGATTATTTTTTAGTATGGTCATGAGTTAGGAATGTCATATGTTTATTTTAGAACTTCAACAATATAACCTTGACAGATTGAGGTTAGGCATACCATACCCTGCAAAGTAGTTATCTAAACAAAAAACATTAGTACAATATCATTTATAGAAGTAGGCCAATTGAAATATTTTGACTCCGATTGTTGAATTGTATTCCAAGCATCTTAATGATTTTATCAATGACTTCCTACTCTTTTTGTTAAAATTAGTAATAAATTAAGAGATTGTCATAAGTTCTTGAGGTCAAAAAGTTCAACATAACATTCAAAAACCATATTGTGAGCTTTTTGATGATTCTAACCACTCTGAAATCTACTATTTCGTCCCCCAAAATGTGTAACATCAAGGAAGTAAATATTCCAGGGGATCATGAAATTTAATTTGCTAATAACACTCAAATAACTAACACTATGACAAAATATTTGTCATTGCAAGATATATTGGTAATTAGTTGTTTTTTAGTTATCTTAATCTGCAATCTGTACTATTGGATGTTATCTACCTGTATGACTGGCTGGTTAGCTGAGTGGTTTAAATGCTCGCCTAACAATCAAATGGTCGCCGGTTCGATCCTGAGAAAAGACAGTAGCTTTTTGATAGTTCGAAACAGTGCCCGGCTCTTCCCAATCATTGGACATAAAATATATGATTCTGACTGATGAAACAATCAATCGCAATCAATCAATTATTTTAAGATGAGGACGCAGCTATGTGCGTATTTTAACCCAAATATGAGTGAAGAATGAGTGGCGCAATCTTGTAGTCTTGTTAGTGACTAAGGTCGACATATTCCTTAGACACAGCTGTTAATTAATAGCCCTTACAGCTAATGGCCACTAAGGGACCTACAGTTAATAGTGGAATCCGAACCACATTTTTTCTGTGGTATTAACAGCTGATCTTAGTCAGTAACCTAGCTCCACAGATCATCACACTCCATTCTACACTCATATTTTGGTTAAAATACGCACCTAGGTGGCGTCCCCATTTCAATTAATTGATAATTGATCTATTAAAATGAATTGTAATAATATACCGGTAGCAAACAAATATGTTTGTAAAATAATGGTTATTGTTGGTTTATTTACTTTGTTGTTTTGATTCCTAATGAAACTGTGTTTATATTCTTCTTGTATAGTGTCATATTCACAAGAGACATTTAAAAGACAAAGAATAAAAGGCGTGTAGAAAATATGTTCAGTGACTACACCCAAGTCTTGTCAATTTGTTTATATAGAACATGAGCTTGATTGATGTAGACTATTTTGTTATTGTTTACAATGTATTAACAGTAATGTGTTTAAGTAAATGGAAATATGCAAAAACAATATTTTCATTTCAGTCAAAATTCTATCTCTTTTGTCTTCTATCCTTCTTATCTTTAATACAGTACTAGTGATATGTACAATTATGTACTGTGGAATCGTGTAAAAAATGTTACCAACTGACAAACATTTTTCTTTATGATGTAGGCCTATTGATTAGTATTATTTTAAAGTGTTTACACTACCATTCATAATGGCGTAATTTCTGTAATTTTACTTAGAAAAATTCCAGAATTCAGGTAGATATTGTCTACATAGAATCACCCGTTTCTATTGGCCTGTAAATTGATTAAAACGTCCAGTTCTGAGATCCATAATTGTGATTTAGCTCTGCTATACAAAAAGCTAGCTTCCAGTCTTGTAATTTAAAATATTTGAATCGGCTGGTGAGATTATCCTGTAAGAGTTAGTTAATAAATTTCTATTCATAATGCAAACAAAAGTTCTAATAAGTTGACACAAGACATTCAATGTATAACTATAATGTACTACTCACTCATAACAAAAGAAAAGACAGAAAAATGGTTGATTTGAAAGTAGTTTACATATAATTTATTCAAGGTAATACAATTGTTAGGCCTACTAATAAAAACTCAACTGCTTCCGGGATTAGATAAAAAGTGTATACTGAGGCACATAGAGGCAAATTCCCCAGTACTCTACACCTAAAACCATGGAGCATTGAATCTGCATACAAAGCATAACACCATTCCCAACCTATTGACCTCATTGTGGAGCACAGCAGCACAGCTACACTCATTCTATTGCTTTAGTTCATACTTTGACGTCGTGAATAGTTTTTTATATGGAAAAATGTTATTTAAATAGCTTTTATAAATCAATTTTAATTAACTGATGAAAAATATTCTTCATTAAGTTTTAGGCTTATTTGGAAGTGTTGTAACTTTTACCATTAAATATAAGTGGAAAAAATAATTTGTTTTTAATAGTTTGTGTATTTAATATAGTTAAATTACTTTTTTTATTCACTTTAAAAACCTACTAGATCTCTCTAATAACAAGGATGGAAATTTTTTGACGAAGAAACATGATACTATAACATTTTGATGATACTAAAACATGTTAATGATTATAGAGGATATCATAGGGTAAAATATAGAACTACCTTCCCACATTATCTTTTAATATATGATCTTTTTTAAACCATCTGTCACTATTGAATTTGTTTTTTAATATTTCTAATTTGACCAATATTAGCTCCAAAGTAAGCATGGTATCCACAGTGATATTTAGATTTAAAATTGCTGATCATTGTGCTTATATGTTGTGTCTGAAATTCAATGACAATGGTATTTGTCAACAATTATTGGCCTCAAGAGGTTTTGATTACTGCTGTTAAACAACATTAGCGCAGATCACACTTGACATAAACAATAAACATGTTTTGTTATGTATAAAAATTTTTTTAAGAGAAGTTGGAGTTTGGTGCTTTTTTGTAGTTTCATTATAGCGTATGTTTGTTTTACCTCCTTTCCTAAGATTCTCTTTTACGATTGTTGTTTGTATGGGTTTTTTACTAATTATTTTTTAGTATAACAACTTATGGTTGTATTGAACCGACAATTCACTATTGAACCGGAATAAACATATCTCCACTCTAAAATCATCGTTAAATTAGTTATTTACCATTCTCAATTTCAGCATTTTTAATCAATTCTCCAGGCTAATAAAAAACAAGGCTCAACAAAAAAAGTTGCATCAATTATTTATAGTAGTAGCTGTTTTTTTGTCAATTCATCAACTCTAATCGAATCACATAGGTACAAAATACAATAAATAGTTTAAATACAATAAATACACTGAAGAATACAATTACAAATACATATGAAATGTCAGCTAAATTAGTTGTCAGTATAATAACAGCTCAGTATATAAATAGCTTAACAAGCAACATTTTCTTGATTATGATTTAAAAAATATTCACTGCCAATTTTTTATATTTCACTGACCATTTTATCTTTGATGTTTCTTTAAACTCTTAGCTAAATATTTATCACCTCAACACAAGTTGATTGGCTGATGCTGATTTCTGATTTCAGTGGTGTTAATCGGAGACTCAGGCGTAGGCAAGAGTAATTTGCTGTCCAGGTTTACACGGAATGAATTCAATTTGGAATCCAAGTCCACTATTGGAGTGGAGTTCGCCACTAGAAGTATACAGGTAGGTAAAACAGCAATATAGGTATCTAATAATAAAGACAAGCATTTTACCTACCAGTACTAACTCCTAGAGCCATATTTGGCCACACCAACAAAGCCTGTCCATCTCCCTTGATCTTCTGCATCTTCCTCCGTTGATTCTATCAGCTCTATATCTCTCTTCACTTGTTTCCACTATTTTTGTTGTGGCCTTTGTCTTGGTCTTTTTGCTTCAGAGTTTCTAATTAATATTGCTTCAAATTATTTTCTTCCCCAATTCTCAAAACAAGCCCACCCAGCCCATTTAATCCTTCTACATTTAATATTTACATCTGGATCTAGTTATATAATTCTCTTTTTTCCCAATTGTACATTTTTGTCCAATCTTCCTTCTTCACAAACTGACCTACAAATTTGTGTAAGAATTTATGTTAGTCTTTATTTTGTTGTCACTGTCGGGAATTTTTGGACCATGTATTTTAATCTAATAAAATGTTCAAGATTTTGCAAGATCGTGCAAGACTACGGTGACAGTTTTGTGACCGCGGAAGTCGATGATAATCTCTACACGACCGCGGTAGATGTTCATGATTTTGCCATGGTCGCGGGTCAATGATGTCTACACGGCTGAAAAATCGTAAAGAATTTTACCGCCATCGCGCAAGACGATGATGAAGTTTACATGGGAGTCAATGATGATGTCTACACTGCTGCAAGAGATAATCAGAATTTTTTTGCGATCGGGGAAGACAACGATAAAATCAACACGACCCCGGAGATGTTAAATGATTTTTCCACAATTGTGGGATGATCACCACACGAAGACGTTAATGCTGTTTACCATGTGAGGTGTACGGAAACAACGTTATAAATTAAAGCTCTGTTGAGAAATGGTGCATTCAGATTAAAAATGGCCAAACAAAGGTTCACATCCAAAGATTTTATTTTTGCATGATAATGCTCGAATCACATCAATCTTCTTCAATCATTCAAATAGGAGATTTTCCCTCAACCTCCCCTCCCACATTCTGTACCTGGCTCTGAACTTGTTTTTGTTAGCAAATTTTTATAATATTTTTTTTTAATTATCAGTCAATAATTTCAAAATTCATCGTAAAAACCCCTCACAACTGCAATATTGTCAGTGGATCTAAGATATTAATAAATAGTTAAAACTGCAACTCTATTGTTCAGGTCGATGGAAAGACAATAAAAGCGCAGATTTGGGATACTGCAGGTCAAGAACGATACAGAGCAATCACTTCTGCGTAAGTCAACCATATTTCACTTAGTTTTAATTTTAATTGTTAATATATAAAATTAATTGTTTATTAACAAATTTTGGTATTGATTTCTTACTCAAATTTCAGTCACTTTCAGTAACAATTTCCTAATAAATAAACTATTAATGGGCAGTGGTTTGTAATTTTTCGAGTACTGCTGGTATTACAGATTTTTTGAGTTTGTTAGTTTATTCTTAAAAATCTTAAGACCATTCTGCATTTTGTTGAATAGTGCTAAGGTCACCACTGAACTCCCTTTGTGTCGAAATTGATTTTGTTACAATTAAATTACTGTATTTAGCTTAACCATTGACTTAAAATTTTCGTAGTTCTAATATGTGCGTTTCGAGCATATCATAACAAGTATAACATGCACGGTTTACTTGCCAACTATGTGATTAATCATAGTTTCTTATCACCATATCACTATTGATAAAGAGATAAATAGGTATGCCGGGAAACCAATTGTGAGTCATAGGTTAATATTATTTTTTGAATAGAACAATTCAATGAATTGTTTAGAGTTTGCATTTAAAGCCTTGACTTCTGCTTTTGTATTATTATTAGAAATCTGTTAATATACTTATGTAAATATGGATATTAGCTTCAAAAATGTAGCGCAACAACTATATAATATCAAAGGGTTCTCTAGGCCTATTTTTTTAAAATTTTATTATGAAGGAGGTTTAAATAGATCAAATTTTTTTAAATTTATATGCAGAATTTTATTTGATTATAGTCATTTTATGAAGTCATAAGTGTACCCAATTTATGTACCTATCATAATTATTGTTTGTGGTGTGTTTTAGCGAATTTCCCTATAGGGAAGTAGTTAAAACCGTAGGTGGCACAGTAAGACCTAGGCCCGGGACCGATTTACTTTTTCATTTTGATGTGGAGAGGCCAAAAACACCATTCGTTCAAATTTGTATATAGGCTATGTATGTATATATATATGCCCGTGAACGCAATAACTTGAGTAATTTCTGTCCGATTTTGATGAAATTTGGTTTAAAGCTGTAAGGCGGGACAAACTTGAATGAGTTCGCGAACCAGTATGATCGGACAATGGGAACGGGGTTTTATGGGGTAAATATTGCTTTTTCTCATTTTTTACTCTCAAAACACAAAATTTCCCAATTTCTCTCTAGACCTTTTAAAAGAGCTTAAAAAACAAATAATTTAGTATATCAAAGTGTTCTTGTGCGGTTATTGGTAACTTAATGGAGAAAATTCAAAATATTGTAAATTTAAAATTCCCATATTATTCTTATGGAGAATATTGTAAAATGTTGTAGTTTGCTTGTTTATTGATATATTTTGATCAAACTTGGCAAATATATTTATTTTGTACTAAGCTATTAATATTTTACTAAAAAATAACTTTATTAGTGTCCTCGTAGCAGCAAACCTAGGTACTCGTTAGACCTAATGGTACTTAATAGATTAAATTTAAAATCAATGTCGGCAGGTTTGCTGCGGCAGGGGTATTTTAGTTTGTGATACAAATTTCATTAAGCCAGATATAATTTTGGTTACCCAACCTTTAAATTGACCTCTTAAGTTTTAAAAATCAATTTTAATCCACAATAGTTTAAGAAACAACTACAGTATAACTGAAACGTTGATTTTGTCTGTATAACCCTAGTAGATTCAAGTTTCTAGTGACCTACAGCAACCTTAACATCGGGTCAATAGGAGTCAATAAATACTCTGAAACTGATCATTTGTCAATTGTGGTGGCCGTTCTAGTCAAATAAAAGTTTGATTTACTTCCGTTCTACACCTATTCACTTATCCAAACTGTATGAATATAATTTGAAACTATTTGGATTGTTAAGATTTTTTATTGTTTTTAAACTAAAGAAAATAATTGAAACTGTACAAAAATAATTTCATTGTTTCGCAAGTTCTTTGAAACTATTATTTGTGTTGGAATAATTATATGAGTTGTTTTTACACTAAAATGTAGATAGTTTAAAACGAGACATTACGGTAGGTATTTAATATTTCTTCTTATTGAAGTAACTGAATATGTTAGTAACTCATTTGTTATGTTTCTAAAGTAGGCAATTCATCTCACATTACTACTATATAAAAAAGACTAGAACAAGCAGCAGATACAGGAAGAGATTTTTAATATTGCAAAAGGTTGTTAAAGCTAGAAATTATATTGCCGTGGTCACTTTTATCCGCATTAGTTATTAATGAATATGCAACCTATAGACCTACAGTTTTTTTTCATCCAACCCAAAAAAAGTACGGTGAGACACTTTTTAACGGCAAAACAAGTGGACGTGTTGGTATCCCTGTGTTCTTTCCTTCTGTGTACTGGGTTATGTTTGAAAAAAAAAGAACATTCTGCAGAAGATAATTATGCTTGAACAGGAACTAACTTATTTAGGTTCAGAATTTCAAAAGTTTAAGCTTTTAAGATTTGCTTTCAAAAATCGCTCATGATTGTGAAAAAATATTGTTGGTAACAAATGATTAAGATAATTCTTAAATTTTAATGTTACTAACATTTGAGTACTTTATTACGATATTGAATGTTGATATCCTATTTGAATTCCTTGTTATGTTTATCGTGATGTGCCAGTGTACACACATGATAATCATTTTTGGTCAAATAAAGAGAACATAGAGTAAAGAGTTCTATGGTAATAATATACTTGACTTTTCAGGTACTACCGAGGGGCGGTGGGTGCCCTGCTAGTGTATGACATTGCAAAGCACTTGACGTACGAGAATGTTGAACGCTGGTTGAGGGAACTGCGTGACCACGCTGACCAGAACATCGTAATAATGTTGGTTGGCAACAAGTCGGATCTGCGCCACCTTCGTGCAGTACCTACAGACGAGGCAAGGTCGTTTGCCGAGCGTAACGGTCTCAGCTTCATAGAGACATCTGCCCTGGATTCCACCAATGTAGAGACTGCCTTTCACAATATCCTCACAGGTATCTCGCTCATCCTTCAGTTATGTCATCATCTTGATTGGTAGAATCAATGGTAGTAGTCTTTGTTATCACTGACATTTTCCATAACTATTGGTAAAGTTCCAAGAGAAAGAGATTTGAAATTTGATGCAAGATGTTCTGTTGCTATTGGAGCTCTTCCTTAAAACTGTGGAGGTTTTGCATAAAGTTTGCCATCTAATTGCTTTGATTCTTGTTGTTAGTCATTAGAAGCAGAGTCTTCATATGAATCACCATGTTTACCCACTCTTTCTCAGGGTACATTGGTTGGCTGGTGTTTTGTAGTTCAAGAATACTCATCTGTTTTGTTTGGTGTTTATTGTCTTAGTCATGGCTCCTTAAACTTTTCTTGATCACTCTCCGTCAACAGCTCTTCTTCCTCTTTTTGGAAGAGTGAAATTTTTTTCTTCGTCCAGGCACTGGTGGGGCAGCCTTTGACACCTCTGCAGCAGTAAATCCTGGTGGAGACTTGGGCACTTTTGACTTCCACATCTTCTTTGTCCTCTGAACACCAGTGCCTGCATAATAGTTTTCTTCATCCAAACCAAGAACCTGGTCCTGTAAAATCATAAATAAATGTTCCACCTCGCCTCCATTTAAAAGGGTATATCCATACCTATCTCCTTTGATCTTCCTACATTAGATGATGAGCTTCCTACAGCTTGCTGATTGACATTCAATGTTTGGTATATTTTTACAATATTATTTGAAGTAGGGAATTAATTAAATAAAATTGTTATACAACTTACAAGAATAATGATAATACACGTGACATTCTTTTCCAAACTGTAACATAAAACACCAGCTTAATATGCCAGGTTCAAGTACCACGTGCTATACAGCGCTAAGTTTCTGAATAGGCCTCAGTACAGAGATCTGGGTTGGCCTTCCAGGTTTCGGGTCTAGATTATACTCTCACACTAAACCGTGCCGTTGCCTTTCCTGAGGTTTACAGCGTCAGCGATCTCGAGCATCTGGCTTAACACACAGAGGTCGCTGTGGTCCGGATCAATCCTGACGGACCTGTCACTGCCCCTTCCACCGCATGTAAGACGTGGTGGATTTCATGAACACTAATCTCCACCCCCAAACTCGTCTGCATGTTCAGCACTTGACATCCAACGAGGCATTTGGGTTCGACACACCAAGTAAAGGGTCAACTCCATCTGCCACTGTAGCCTGGGGTTGAGGGCCCCGTCCTGTCGTCCCAGCCGCAGGCTGAGGCTCGTTCCGCCACACCACTCGTCATAGGCTGGGTGGGGCTCATCCGGCCTCACCTAGTCATTAGAAGCAGGTTTTGTGTAGGGGTCGCCATCTGATTGCTATGATTCTCGTTCGTATTCGTTAAAGCAGAGTTTTCATATGAATCACCATGCTTACCCACTCTTTCTCAGGGTACATTGTCGGCTGGTGTCTTGTAGTTCAAGAATGCTCATCTATTCTGTTCAACGTCTGTTGTCTTTGCCATGGCTCCTTAAACTTTCAATTACTCTCCATAAACAGCTCTTCCTCATCTTCTTCCTCTTTTTGGAAGAGTGAACTTTTTTCTCCGTCCAGGCACCGACTGATGCAAAAACTGACTGGGCAGCCTTTGGCACTTCTGCAGCAGTAAATCTTGGAGGAACTAGTGGAGACTTGGGCACTTTTGGCTTCCATATCTTATTTGTCTTCTGAACACCAGTGCCTGCATAATAGTTTTCTTCACCCTCTTCGCTTTTCTTTCTCCCAGAAAACAAAGAACCTGGTCTTTTAAAATGATAGTTATTCTGAATGTTCCTCCTCCTCTATATTTAACGGAAAGTTTCCATAGCTATATCCTTTGATCTTCCTCTATTAGATGATGAGCTTCCACAGCTTGCTGATTGACATTTGTGGCGGTGGGCCATGTAGGGGTGATTTGTTGATTGACTGGCAGTTCTACATAATCGTTGATGTTGGAAGTCTTGACTGAACCCTTAAATTTAATCAGAGGAGGCTTTGATGATTAAATGTTAATTGAAGCATTTTTACTACAGAAATACTATTCTCTTCCAATGAATATGTTACAATTACAAATCAAATGACTGGACACAACGTGAACTATTAATTTAACTTATTGATAACAAAGGGTGACATTGGAAATAACTTCAAACATTATTAATTGTTGAACCTGCAAAGAATAATTAATTTATATGAAAATTTAGACTGATTAAACATCTACCACCGTACCTCACATGGGGCCTTGCCCCCATATCCCTTGCTCTACTCGTTGGCCATCTTGTTCCTTCGGAGACTGTAGCAAGACCACACAAGTTTGACTTTACTCACCCGATGTGCTCGCTGCGCATGCGTGAGCAAGTTCCTGGGTTCGAGAGTGCCTTCTGGGCGAGACATTTGAGTTACGGTAACTGAAGTTGTGGGGCTGAACCCCACACATTCAAACTTATTTTAAATCTGAATTTGAATCTAATTTTGAAGTAGGGAATTAATTTAATGAAATGACAATCGTTATGTCATAACTTGTAAGAATGGTGAAATACGAATAACTAACTATGAGAATTTATTAATAGTATAATACATCAAATATCAGACAAAAATCTCTCATGTGTTCATACCTGTATCTCATTCAAGACTGATTCTTCTTCATGTTGGCTTCTCCAGGTATTATAGGCCTCTAATTGGGTCATTGCTAATGGTTGTGATTTCAGTCCGCTTTGTGATAGGAACGTTTCATTACTAATACTTTACTTGAATATGATATTATTCTAGATTTTAAGTTCAATATAAATAAACTTATTTATTGATAAATAAACAGCACTTATCCAGCCAGTAGTCATCAGTAGTTCTTCTTTAGATTTCCCACCCTGCAGCCTCCCTTGTAACACTTGGTGCTGCAGCAGCTCTTGTTGTAACATTTATTTATTCTTCCAACGGCAACACCATTTTTACATTCAAAATACATTAAATCACTTTAAGTATGACATGCATAAACATAGCATAAGTAGGTACTAAAATATGTGCAATAACAAGAATGAATATGAAAACTAGGCATAACATGCAAAATACATAATCAGAATTAAATCAAAAATACATTAAAATAGGCTAAATGACTTCAAGTATGACATGCATAAACATAGCATAATAAGGTATATGCCTACTAAAATATGTGCAATTTAAACAGAATGAATATGAAAAGCAGGCATAACATGCAAAAGACATTAGTTAACCAGCAAATAATATAGCGCATAATTAACAACAGGTAAAATATGAAGTGCAAAAACAAAACAAAAAAAGAAACAACAAGTGCAATACTGGTAGGCAAACAAAAGTAAGGCAAGATACGTCAAATTATATATGTAGGCTACAAAACAACAACTATAAATTAATTTTTCAACAGCAAAAACAACAGGAAACTTGATGAACAAACAAGAATCACCAACTGGACACCAAGATGTGGCCCTTTAAAGACATTACATAACATTTGATCACATTGATAAATAAATTGATAACATTTGAGCCAGAGAAGGTTGTGCTTTCAGAACATTATCAGGCTTATTCAGAGCAGTTGAAGGTTGTTGTTGTTGAATGCGGCATCATATTGTATATTCTTCTTTGGAAAAGGTATGAGCCTGTGAAAACATTTGGGCTTGAGATTGTGCCTTTTACCTTAATCTAAAAGTTTATCTAAGGATTGTGGCTGCATACATTCAATAAGTGCCATAATCTGAGCCATCTGATTCGCCTGTTGCAGCAGAAAGTGCCTTTGATACGGGTTTAAGTTTCCACTTTGTTCAGTAACTGTTGATTGATAAGTTAAATTAGGTTCCTGATTGCGGCCTTCAATTTTTCCAAAATATGTGGTCTTTCTTTGTAAACATGTGTCTTCAGGTGTTGGAAAAAGTCACAATTTGACAAGTCCGGTGAACTTGGCCACGTGAGATTACACACCCAGGAATTAACACTCTAACTGCTGCCATAGAGGCATTGGCTGTGTGAGCCTCATCTTGTTGAAACTGTTTTTATGTATATTTTCTGCCTTTAGTTTAAGTTCTGGAATAAAAAAGTCTCATATCATGTTCAAGTATCGTGCAGAATGAACAGTCACAGTAGTTCCGATTCCTCCAAAGAAAAATGGCCTATAAATCCAACATCTTCCTATAGCACACCAAACTGTGACTTTTGAAATGTGCAACAGTCTAGGACGTTAGGATTTTCCAAAGCCCAATTCAATAATGAAAGTTCTGTTTATAAACAGTACCATTTAAATGGGAATGATCTTCATCACTCAGCACTTATACAAATTGTCACTTCCTCGTTCTCTTCAAGCATGATTAACATTTTCTCATCAAATGTAAGGCGACATGAATAATCAGCATCATTTAACCTCTGCACCAATTTTATTAGTGTAATCCTAAATCTTTGTGTAAGAAGTGATTCACTGTTCTCTTACTCAGTCCAAGATCCACTGTGTGACGCCGTGCGAAATGGGAAGGGCTGCGCTGGATCGCTTAAACTCTCATTCTATACGGACGTTTTGTGGCGTACTTACTGTAAAATTGTATTTTAGCTTGTAAGCTTATGTTTTTGTAGGCTTATATGTTTTATGACCTTTGACTAGTCATTTTCTTGACTGTTGCTATACATGTATAATGTCAATGGCAAATAAAGATTTCTATTCTATTCTATTCTAGTCCCGGTGGTTTTGTTTTATAACTTATCCTTTAGTTCTAAATGAATTACCCACCTTAAAATAGCAATCCAACTTGGATATTTACCATGACGATCAATACGAAAGTAATGTCTAAAACATTGTTGGGTTTCAACGATTGACTCAAAAGTATAGCATGCAAACACACGATGACGAATCTTCCACAGGGGCATGTTGGCGACTACATGGGGTGAGGAATGGACCTTCAACATGAGTTACCCCCTCCACCAGTCGCCGAGTACTGCGTTATTCAAAAGTATCCGTATCCCTTGGGCCACCCTCTTTTGTTGCTGTCGTTGTTTATCTGCCAAGATTTTTCCAAGTATTTTAATGTTGCGTATAAGCTTGTCACTTGTATTGCTTAACATTCCTGAACAGAAATTTGATTGGCAAATTTTTAATACTAATCTTAAGATTTGTTTATAATGTGGTAACAAATGGACTATGTGATTGCCATGTGGATTAGCATACTTTGTAATATCTTTACATTCTTTAATTAATTATTAAATTCATTGTTGTAGCCCCGGAACTGTATTATAGACTAATTTTGGTTTCATATTAGTTGGCATCAGTTCCAAATTGTAACTTTTCTCAAAGTGTTACATGTTTCGGCGAGCTGCCAAAGAGCAGTCTGTTTCCGCTCGTGTACCGGCAATGTTGCGACCGAGATAGGCCTATAAAACTACAAGTATTTGTGTAAACCGACAACATATCTATACGAGCTCATTTAGGGGCGGTTTGGGAGCTCGAGCCCAGCTAGTACGCGCCTAGTGTTGGACGCGCCTAGTGTTGGACGCGCCTAACTTTAGTCCCAGGAAGTCGCGCCTAAGTTGCAGCGCGGCTAGATGGACAGGGATAACATATATTTTAAATAACATATATTTTTTTATTACATATCCATATTCTGGCTTCTTACTTATCCCTTAAAATGGGAGATTATTTAAATCATGAAAAAAAAATTTCATGATCATAAAATCCCAAGTAAAACTGAAAATAAGTAGGAAACTACACGGCAAACAACTTTTAATTAAAATGTTTTCACGTACAATTTGTATTTTCTAACATTAAGTCATCAAAAAATGAAAATTTTGAATTTTTGTGAAAAGGGCAGATTTTAATGAAGTACGGCTCTTCAAATTAAGGCCATACCATACGTCTGACAGACAAAATGCATATATAAAAACTGATTGGAATTAAAAGAGCTACATATTTGCTAAAATAATGTTTTTGATAAAACTAACCGTTCTCGAGATATATGCCAAAATATATATTTTGGCAGCCATCTTGACGGCCATTTTGAATTTTAGGGCATGTTGCCAAGGTACGATTCTTGGCGATTTTTGAGGGCTTAAGGGCACTCTTAGCTATCATTAAAAAAAAAATTGCTCGTGTTGCAATTTTGTTGGGGTTCAACACTAAAATGATTCCACTAGTACTCCATTTTGATGTAACTAGCACTTGGTCAATGACACTGAACTGAGCTCTATCACAACGCAATTAAAAGATAACGATTATGACTGTGAGCTATTTGCAGTTTTTTATGTTTTGTTTACTATCTCTTCACTCTTTCGTAGGGGGTGAGTGGGGGGTATGCATGTGGTTGCTAATTATTTCCTTACTTATAAAATATTTATAATTAAGGTACGGGTGCTTATAGCCAAACTCTCAGTTGAAAGAAATTCTATTTAGGGTCCATATTTGTATTGCAGTTAACAGTAAAAACAAAAACCAAATAATCTTTCGTTAAATTTAGCTTTCTGCAAGATTTTCGTTTTATTTTGAACAACAGAAAACTAAAAAAATTTTATCAAATATACTTTGAGAGTAATGAAAATTTTCGGAATTTAATAACGAATTCCAATATAACATTCTTTTAGTTAATATGTAAACAATTAACGTGCTAATGAGCTAATACCGGCATGATGTCGACTTAGACCTGCCCCCTGGCAGGACTAAAGTTGGGGACTAAACTCACTGATTTTTATGACGAAAACATATCTCTTAGTCCCGGAATTGGTCTCCCAAACCCACCGAGACTATCTCTTAGGCTGGCGCCTAAGTCTACTTGACTCCCAAACCAACAATATTTAGGCGCGAGATTATCCCTGCACAAGTTAGGCGCGCGCCTTTCTGATCCCGAGCTCACAAACACGTTTTCGAGGCGGCAGCCTAAAATACCGGAAATATCCGGATTTAGTCGCGGACTAGCGCTAATACCAAGCTCCCAAACCGCCCCTTAATGTTTATTCCTGGACTATGTGTTTAAAAATGGCAGCTCACCGAAACATGTAACATTTTTATGAAAGTTTTAACGTGGAACTGATGACAAGTAACGTAAAACCAATTAGTTTTTTTAATTATGTTGATTATTTTTTCAGAAATATACCGAATTGTATCGCAAAAGCAGATCAGAGATCCACCAGAGGGAGAAATAATCAAACCCACGAATGTGGAACCTATTGAAGTCAAACCTACTGTCAACACTGACAGTGTCCGTAAACAGTGTTGTCAGTGAGCCTAAGGTAAATGTTAAATAATCATTGTACAGACAAGGTTGGGTAAGTAGGAGTGTAATACTGCGGAATCAACTAACATCCTAGTCAAAAAGTTGGCATGAATTTGCTGTAGTACATTCAGGGGTGCCACCAACCATTAATTGGCAAACTTGATCGATGTATCTTTGTAATTATGAAAAAGATTCATCAATTATGCTTACCTTTTTACTGATCTTGGCCATAAAAAAGTTAAACATAGGTATATGAAATGTTATTTAGTTGGTAAATTTAGAGTTATTTCATCTGGGATAAATGCACAAAAAAGTGTTATTCAGCTTTTTAAATTATTATGGTTTTCATGAACAATGAACAACTAAAGAATTTCAATTTTTGTAATCAAATTGAGTTTTTGTTTTATTGTTAAGAGTTTTAAAAGTAGCATAGTAGCTTGGCTGCAGATTTTTTGGGACTTCATGATGATTGTGATAACAGGCTAGAGAGACTCGCCTTTGGCTCGTGTTAGTCGTCATTAGTAAACAGCTAATCCAGCTAGCTGTTAGTCGTCATTAGTAGATTAAGTTAGGTTAAGTTGTAACTAAGCAAGAAGTGAAACCGTCAATATTAAGTTATATAAGTTAACTTCGAGCTCGACCTTAAGGAACACCTCATAAAAAAATCATTTTTTTAAGTTGCGGTAAGAGAGTATGTTAGTTAACTATTTTTACAACTGAGTTGTTGGTCAAGCGAAGTACAAATATAAGGAGAGTAGGGTTCGTTTTAGTGAAAATCAACATTTGAGGCTTTGCAGCATGGTGTATAATGATATGTAAAAATGTGTGTTCAATTTGTTTCAAATAAATAAATAAACAAAGATCGTCTGGCTCCATTCTACACACATCGTTGCCAATAGGCAAATATGTGGTGAGACGTGATGTTGCTAATAAAAAAGTATTTCAAACTGATTATTACAACAAATTCTTCTATATGCAAGCATTAATGTCAACTCTTGTTGTATCTTTGCTGTTTTCATCATGTTTTTTGTCTACATTTATTTTCATAAAATAAAAAAAACAATTGCATAATACTCATTAATATAACTGTTGTGTCTTCCACCTATTCTGTTGAGTCAGCATAAAGTTTTATTTATTTACTTGTAAGGATATTGATGGATGTGGCACAATATTTTGAGAGCAGATAGGGTTACTAAATTAATAACCTAGTAGTATCCACAAAGCCATTACTGAAGAGAAAACCAAAAACAGAATGCTTGTGACTAATCAAATCCCAAAACTGAAAGTTAAATTTTGATGGTTTTGAGATTTGGTGTTGATACACCATTAATCACAATTAGCCTATTGAAATATTAAGACTAGTTATTGCTACAGCCACTGCATGTTTTAGTTGATTTGTTTGTTTGGTTGACAATGACAGTGTTGTTCTGTTTCAGGGGGGCTACTAGCTTCGCCTCTGATGTGGCCTAAGTCTCAACAGCCTACTGGCCTGGGGACTCTTATATATGTACACATATGTGCGACTAAGGAACTATATAAGTTTAACAGCAAAAGCATCATCCGTCGTTTGATTAATATCTAACTAATTCCTGGTGTTTTCTGTTCTTCAGTGCTCTATGATTTCACGACGAGTGCCGCTAATTCAAAAATGTTTGTTGTTTTGATGTCACAAATAAGTTTATAATAGAAAAATATTAGTGACAATGTTATTGAAATGTTATATCGTACATAATATTTGTTACTTAATAAGTTTCAGTTACATAATAAAGCATGTGATTTCATAATATTTACGTTACATAATATTGTTGCATGATAATCTGTGAAGTATTTATTTGTTTGTAGAATCATTTTTTTTAGTTTAAGTTAACTTAGTGGACTACCTGTGGTACAATAAATTGAGTTTTCTATTATCTTCGTCACTTAGCAGCAATAACATTTTATCGGATGTTAAATCTGTCGAAATACCTTTTTATGATGCTTTTGTGACATCCGATTATTTAACAGTTGACCTAGAATCAAATCGCTTGTCGCATCTCTACATAATGTATGTATAGAAGTTAATTTTGTATTTAAAGAAAACTACGGTACTATGGTTCTGCTAACGACGCCCCCACTTCTTTTCTTATCGAGTGATTATTTATCTATTTATACATGTTTATTATCTTAAACTTAGGCTTTAATGGAACGTGTTAATATATTTTTGTGTTTATTGGGACCGAGACAATTGTTTTTCCACGAGACTCACTGTTATTCCGGCAGGTTCTTTCCGTCGCCTGTGGTTTTGTTACATTCCCGTAAGCCCCAGAAATTGATTCTCACTCTAGAGCTTACAAAGTGTGTTTCGGTTATCTCAATGTGTAGAATTCACCTGCCTCAACGTTGATTCAAACATGCCATAAATCAATATTTTACATTACACTAAATAAATATGTTAATTATAATAGGACTAAGATGTTATTATTGTAAAATATAAATAATAATAAATAAAATTAAACTGAGCTTTTGTTTAATATTTACATTTTGTTCATACTCCCTGGTGTTTTTATACTATACACAGTGTAATGGTATCAAGTAAATCACTACAGCTTCCTACTAGAAGACATAAAATCTGATTAATCTTATATTAGGATATGAGGAAATAGTTCAGTACATACTGAAAATCAAAATGAATTTCACTAGCCAAGTGTTAATTTTAGCGAATTTCCCCTATAGGGAATAAGCTATTACCGTAGTACTCATGGTGAGACCTGGACCCGGGACCGATTTACTTTTTCGTTTTGAGGTCCCTAGAGGCCAAAAACACCATCAAATACAAATTCATATATACAGGGTGGTCTGAACCTAGCGTTACAAATTTTTTCGGGTGGTAGAGCAACACAAGTGTGACTCAAATCCACAATTTAAAAAAAATATATTCCGTACACCCACTTGCAGAAACATTATTTTGATTTTTTTAGAAAAACCTGTTCATTTACACCAAATTTTAAAATTCCTCTAGTATTTTCATACATTTGTATAACTTTGGCACTACCATAATTTTCTCCATTAAATTCTATTTAAGAATAGACAGCTTTTGGTGAGCCCCAAAGCTTCAGAATTGCTATTTAAATTGATTAGAACTAAGAAATTTTGATTTTCACAAAAAAAGGTTAAAAATAAGCATCCAGACACTTTTTTTAAATACTAGAGATTAGCAAATGGCTACCAAAACTGCTCTAAAATCTTAGCTTTTAAAAGATATGATGAGGCATTTAATTTGCTTCCTTTTAAGTACAGCTATTCCAGTTATAACTGTGGAAAACATGGTTTAAGGAAAACAAAAACGCACTATAACAAACCAAAAAGACACACATGTTAGTTTTTATTATTATAGAAACAGCATGAGGCTGCAACAAAATTTGTATCTAGACAAGTTCAAAACAAATTCCAAGTATTGGATTAATAACCAAACTATAATGCAAGTTCATTTTAATTTATTTTCAAAATGTCCTCCATTCTCTCTGATGCAGCTCTCTTCCGCAAAGAAATCCATGGGGTTCAGATCAGGAGATCTTGCGGGCCAGGGCACCGGACCTCCTCGGCCTATCCACGTGGGATAGTTAGCACTCAGCCAATCTCGAATGTCATTCCTAAAATGAGGAGGTGCTCCGTCTTGTTGATAAATGATATCTTGACGGAGCACAGGATCAATCACATCCAAAATTTGAGGCAGATCGTGTTGCGAAAATTCAAGGTACATCTCTCCTTTCAAACTTCCCTCAAAAATATGGGGACCTAAGAAGCAATCACCAATCACAGCTGCCCAAACGTTAATAGTAAATATGTTTTGAAAGGAGTATTGAGGAGAGCATGGTGCTAGAGTAGATTTCTGCCGCTACCTCCTGAATTCTGACATTGAACAATACCACTTTTTCAAAAAGATTTTGTGGACAGATGAAGCTCTTTTTACAAGACAAGGTGTATTAAATTCCCGTGCCCTGGCCTGCAAGATCTCCTGATCTGAACCCCATGGATTTCTTTTCGGAAGAGAGCTAGAGCCTGCATCAGAGAGAATGGAGGACATTTTGAAAATAAATTAAAATGAACTTGCATTTTAGTTTGGTTATCAATCCAATACTTGGAATTCGTTTTGAACTTGTCTAGATACAAATTTTGTTGCAGCCTCATGCTGTTTCTATAATAATAAAAACTATCATGTGTGTCTTTTTGGTTTGTTATAGTGTGTTTTTGTTTTTCTTAAATCATGTTTCCACAGTTATAACTGGAATAGCTGTACTTAAAAAGGAAGCAAATTAAATGCCTCATCAATCTTTTAAAAGCTAAGATTTTAGAGCAGTTTTTGTAGCTATTTGCTAATCTCTAGTATTTTTAAAAAAAAAAGTGTCTGTATGCTTATTTTTAACCTTTTTTTGTGAAAATCAAAATTTCTTAATTCTAATCAATTTAAATAGCAATTCTGAAGCTTTGGGCTCACCAAAAGCTGTCTATTCTTACATAGAATTTAATGGAGAATATGATGGTAGTGCCAAAGTTATACAAATGTATGAAAATACTAGAGGAATTTTAAAATTTGGTGTAAATGTACAGGTTTTTCTAAAAAATTACTTCCGGTGTACATTTTACATCATGTAGCTCCTAAACAAGTAGGTTTATAGCGAAAATGCGAAGAGTAAATAAGTCAAATAAGTCTTAAAATTGCATCCACATTCCAAAAAGACCATAAAATTCCTTAAAAATATTAATTCTGTTATTTCAAAAATGGCGGCCATTTTCCAAAATGGTGGCAATCTTGAAAAGTGGAAAACTGTGTATTTTATGGTCTTTTTGGAGTGTGGATGCAATTTTAAGACTTATTTGACTTATTTACTCTTCGCATTTTCGCTATAAACCTACTTGTTTAGGAGCTACATGATGTAAAATATACCAGAAGTCATTTTTCCATAGGCTGTAACTCCTAAACGAGTGGGTTTATCGAAATAATGTCAAGAATAAAAAAGTTTTTAAATTGCATGTTCTATCCGAAAACATGATAAAATATAGGGTGTTCCATAAGAAATTTCAAAGTTGACCGCCATATTGGAAAATGGCGGCCATTTACAAAAATTTTATTTAATTATTTTTGAACCTCTTTAAAAACAAGGGAATGTTCCCCATTTAAAGTTTGCTGTAAAAGCATTAGTTACTGAGATCCCAATGGTGGCACACTTAAAAAAAACACCCTGTATATTTTTTTAAATTGTGGATTTGAGTCACACTTGTGTTGCTCTACCACCCAAAAAAAAAATGTTAACGCTAGGTCCAGACCACCCTGTATATATATAAATATATTTATATATGTGTCCGTTAGCGCGATAACTCGTCGAGCAAAAATGATCCGATTTTGATGAAATTTGGTACAAACGTGTAATCCTACGTTTATTTGAACGAGTTCGCGAACCAGCATCAAATCAAATCAAATCAAATCAAAAGATCTTTATTCATATTTGTAAATACGTGTTTACATGAATAGTGTCAAACAATTAACATAAAAATAATTACATGAATAGGTAGGCTACAATCAAAATTATTAGTAGGACAGTATTGATCACACTACTCCAGGTTGCAATGGTTGGTCTGAATTTTAAGATCTATTATCTGTTCTAAACTTTAAAAAGTCATCAAATGAATAAAGTGCCCTCTGTATCAAAAATTCTTTCAATTTCACTTTGAAACCTCTATCATCCTGCATGCTTCTTATGTGATCTGGTATGTGATTTAGGAATCTGATACCGTTGTATGAAGTTTTTCTTTTGAACAATTCTAATTTATGATTTGGTAATACTACTTTATTTTTATTCCTAGTGTTATAGCTGTGGATATCTTTATTTGTAATAAAACTATTTATATTATTTTTTACAAACATTATGCATTCTAAAATGTATAAGCTGTAAACAGTCAAAATTTCAAATTTAGTAAAGAAAGTTTTGACAGATTCATTGTTCTTAAAGTTTAATATGGCCCTTAATGCTCTTTTCTGTCCAATTAGTATCTTTGTCAAATTTTGAGCAGATGTTCCACCGTAGACACAGATCCCATAAGAAACATGGGATTGAACATTGGCAAAATAAACACTTTTTAATACATTCGTATCGCAGAGATAATACAGTCTTCTGATGGCATAGATTCCTGAGTTAATTTTCTTTAAGACATTATCCACGTGCAGATCCCAACTTAGATTTCTATCAATGATAAGGCCAAGAAATTTAGTATTTTCAACTTGCATAATTTCTTCACTATCTATGTAAATACGTCTATAAAAGAACTCCGGGGTTTTGAGGCAAAATATTACACTGAAGTAAAAAACTTATATACATGTTTAATACATGATTGGAAAGGTTACATTTTCAAGTTTTTTTAACAATTTAATAAAGTTCAATATGAGCGCCTTTAGTGGCACGGCACACATCGTAACGGTATTCCACCTCTTCCCATGTCCTGGCCAGCATGTCTGGGGGGACGGTTGCCACACAATTGATTATTAGTTGCCTGAGATGGTCAACATCATGAATTTTCTCAGCATACACAAGATTCTTGATGTGCCCCCAGAAGAAAAAGTCCAACGGAGTCATGTCAGGGCTCCTTGGAGGCCATGGAATCGATCCTTCCCTTCCAATCCATCTGTTGCCGAGTCGAACGTCAAGTGCCTCACGCACACGCAAACTGAAATGTAGCGGTGCCCCATCTTGTTGGAAGTAAACTAAACGCCGAAAGTTTCTTTGTACCGTAACAACAGATTTAGTTTCTATTAGCCAGATAATGCACTGAGCATTTTGTTGCGGCGTCGCCATAGCACGGCAATCCAGACAGCACTGACGGCCACACTACGTTGTTTCAAGGTCAACGCTCCGTAGCGCTGCAAACTGTTGATGAAAACATTCCCAATCGGTATGAGTAAAACTTGATGAGCTACTCGTTTCAGAGAAATTAACTACATTTTGCTATCTTCTACAGTTACTAAGATATTAATTTTTAAAATCCCGGAGTTCTTTTATAGACACCCTGTATTTATTTCCTCTTTAATTTGTCTTTGTTTAGTGCAAAATGATATGCAGTTAGTCTTTTGAGTGTTCAAAATTAAATCGTGAGTGATAAAGAAATCTTTAATTTTTGCTAACTCCACAAAGGAGTGAATTTCTAATTCTATACCAGTTTTTGCAGACATTATAAGGTTTGAATCATCGGCGTACAAACAGAGCTGATTTTTGATAGAGTTTAATTTACTTAGGCAATTCGGCATATCACTTATGTAGCAGATAAATAATAATGGTCCAAGATTGACCCTTGGGGTACTCCATATTTAACTTTTTCTGATGTAGACTGAAATTTAATGACTTGATTTTTCTCAGTTCTTGATACTTCTACATATTGTTCTCTATCAGTTAGGTATGATTCAAACCATTTTAAATATGAATTCCTGATTCCTAGACTATTAAGTTTGTCAATCATTTTTGGGTGGGAAATACTGTCAAACGC